CCTGCCACTTGCTCCCCATGTGTCTGCCCAAGTCTTCAGTCCAGTGAGCACAGCCAGGGACAGAGGCCTCACTGGAGACTAGTCGGATCCCTCCTACCTCTGAAGTATGGGATGTCATCTTCTCAGCTACAAAGGGTTAGCCTGCCCCATCCACTGACACATGGACTGATGGGCACATATGATACCATTGCTGAGACTCTGACAGTTCCAGCTAAAATGTTAGGGGAACCAAAGAGCCATCCAAAGGGGTATCAAGCTTCCTGGTAAGTGGAGGCACCAGAAATATTATCCCTCACCCTGCCAAGCATGGCCTCTGTCTTTTCTGGATGCAGATGTAGCCCTGCAAAATCTGGGGTGTTTGACCACAGAATACTATGCAGCCATAAAAAAGGATGAGTTTGTGTCCTTTTCAGGGACATGGATGAAGCTGGAAACCATCATTCTCAGCAAACTGACACAAGAACAGAAAACCAAACACCACATGTTCTCACTCATAAGTGGGTGTTGAACAATGATAGCACATGGACACAGGGAGGGGAGCATCACACACTGGGGCCTGTTGCGGGGGCTAGGGGAGGGATAGCAGCAGGTGGGGGGATTGGGAGGGATAATATTAGGAGAAATACCTCCCGTTAGGTGACAGAAGAATGGATGCAGCAAACTACCATGGCATACGTATGACTATGTAACAATCCCGTACAGTCTGCACATGTACCCCAGAACTTAAAATGTAAACAAAAAAATCTGGAGTGTTTGAAGGAGCGAGGGATGGTATCGGATCTGCACTGGCATTGCTTTCCCATGGCCAAAGTCACGTTTAAGGCTTCAGCAGACATTGCCTTCCCAGGAGACTTTGGCAATCACTCTCAATCCTCACAAAGGTCATATCAGCCCTGAACAGAAAAGGGCCAAAGCTGTTTAAACATGAGGCCACTTTCTGAACCTGTAAGCGTTGGCCACTGGGACAGTATGAAACTGCTTCATGAAAGCTGAGATAAATGGAACGGAAGACAGAAGCCTCCTGACCCCTCTGTCTGATTAAAAAGTATCACGCTGAGATCTCCATTACAGAGCAGGAGAAAATCATAGGCCCTAGAGTGTCCAATCTGAGAAGAATGAAGGCTCTGTGGAGTGCAGGAAGGGAGAATTGTACAGAGAGAGAAGGAACATCCCAAGGAAGGATACTGGGGACTCACCTGGCCTGGGCGTCGACCGGGACTGGGCAGCTGTGAGAAAGAGGAGGTCAGATCAGATGCACTGCACAGCAGCTCATACAACCATAACAAAGGTGGAAGGAAGTGGACAGGCCACGCCTTCATTCCCTCCTAGGTCCCCATCACAGAGGGAGGGGCATGGCCATGCACGTCCCTGCAGAGATGCTCCTTGGAAGGTATCTCTGCAGATCCTGTCCACTACTGCCAGCTCCAACGCGATTAACTTTGTGTCTGCCTGTAGTAATCAGGTTGACACAAAACCAACCCTCTCCCTTGCACGTCTTAGCAGTCCCTGAGACAGCAAATGTGAGGAGGTCACTCCAGCCAAAGTCCTACTTGTGACCTTGCAACCCAGCCCACAGGCATTCATAAGGAGGCTTTACCTAGTAGGCGTCATGGGGGCTGCCTGCCCCACACCACACCTGGTGCACAAGCAAGACACTGCAGTGCTCTGGAGGGAGTTGTGGCCAAGGATTCGCAGCCCACAAAACCCAGGCTAGACACGGACAGGCAGTGATCTGCACTCCCAGCCTTGTAGCTCCGATAAGACAGAGCCTTATTGAGCCTCAGCAAAAGATCCCACTTCCTAGCAGGAGCCTCTTGTTCTGGGCTCCTCCCAGTGAGACAATCCCTCTCCGATCCCTTACATGTGCTTAATCCACCTCACCCTCACCCAAAACCCTTCAGTAGCGGAAAGATAGAAGCCTGGAGAGCCAGCGTGCTACACTTTGGGTGCTGGTCCCATCCAAGTGTCATATTGCGTTTGGAACCCCAAGTACAGAGGTGAGGCCTGATGTGCCCTATTGGGTCATGGAGGCCAACTCATCATGAACAGCTTAGTGCCCTCCCTGGTCAGGGGTGAGGTCTTCTCTTAGTTCCTAGCTAGAGCTGCTGGTTGAAAAGGGCCTGGGCCCTCCCTCTTGCTCTCTCTTGCTTCCTCTGTGACTTCTGCCGAGGACAGCTCCCCTTCCCCTTCTACCAGGAGTGCAAGAAGCCTGAGACCCTCAACAGAAGCCAAGCAGATGCCTGCACCGTGCTCCTATGCAGCTGCCAGGCCACAGCCCAAATCAACCTCTTTCTCCATGAATAACCAGGCCCCAGCTATTCCCTTCCAACCGCACTAAAAGACAAAGGCCCGGTGCTTTCCTCTTCTCCCCGTGCTTGAGCTGCCTCAGTAATGACCCTCATTTCAATTTGGCCCATTGTCCTCCCTGACCTCTCCAATACCTGGCAATGTGGCAATGACTCATGCTGTTTCCTAGCAGAGAACTAAGGAGATATCAGAAATACAGGAAGAGTAGGAAAAGGTCTGAGTGAGATCAGAACAGAATGAGACCTCGCTTCCTGACCACACTCCACCCCAACAGAGGGAGCCCAAAGCCTTGGAGACCCACCTGAGCAGATGACCCCAGCGTCTTCACTGTGCTGACAGTTGTGGAAGAGCCAGCCACTGTGGGGACAGCTCCACAGGTAGGACTCGTGTCCTGAGCAGTGCACATCATCCAGGACGATGGGTCCATAGCCTTGACC